ACTTCGTAGTAACCCTTGTATCTGTCCTCAAGAGTGTGACGAAGTTGTTTTTGAAAACCGTTTTGAAAGTGTTTGTGTAAAAGAGTTTTTATTGTTTTGAGCAAGTACTTAAGAGTTTCTACCTACTCGAAAAAGACTGTTCGTTTTCTCGTTTCCTTTAGACAACACTATCCTACTATTAAGGAGTAGGTAGCCTCGCCGTTGGAGTTTTAAGGGACATTTGAAGGGACAATTACGGTCACAAAAGCAATGGTTAGGAAACCTTAGTAGTTACCCTAGAGCCTTAAAGATATTTCCAAGACAACATTCGAATGGGTCATTTTTTATCTTTTGGGACTAGAGGGCGACCACTAAAATTTCCTATGCTTCATGACCGTTTATCGAAGGCAACCGAAGTGAGGCAAACCCTAGGAGTGAGCATGTGCATGTGTTTGATTTCAGATTATTTAATCTTTGCACAATTAAGGTGATCTACTGTTTTAATTTCATTTGTCTTTTGCATGCAAGCCTATTATTCATACATCTAACAATTTATAATAGCAGAAAGTACAAGTGCGAGAAATTAAAGTCCTAACTATTACAAGGCTTCGAGGAGGGGTTACATAACCAAAACTTGGGGAATGAAAACAGTAAATGAAAAGCGGTAAAATAAACCCTAATTAAAAACTATTACAAACTTCGAAACAATTACAATAATTGGAATTATAAATAAGTAAATGCGTGCGAGACGAATTAAATACGAGAATCAAAGTCTAAATTCGAAGGAAATCAAAGAAAATATTTTTGTTATTTTTTGATTGAGAAAATTAAATATTTGCAAATTAAACCTAATTTTCTATTTGATTTTTAATTATGGAAAAATAATTTAAATTGCCCTAATTAAATTAATCTAATTAATTAATGAAATAAAATATTTTATGAAAAATATCTAATTTTAATGTATTTTTGTGATTTTTTGATTTAATAAAAAATGATTTTATTTTGTAAAAATAACTAAACAAATAAATAAAACAAGAAATTTTAAAAAAATAAATAAATTGGGCCTGGTGTGAAGTAGTGATCTGGGAGGTGTGAGGAGTTGAATTTGTTAGGCCCAAGATTGCTGGCCCAAAGACTACGTGTGTTCCCATGAGGTTCACCTTTGGAGGGTCTACCACACTCCTTGCTTGCTGAGCGTTTAGATTTGGATTGATGAGGAATCTGATGGTTGAGGTCAGGGGTGCATGATGGACGTTTGATGGTGAAGCACACATGATCTGGGACAAAGAAATTGGAAAATATGAAAACATGAGATTCTAAGATCGAACCCAGAACCTTTTGGTTCACGGCTTGCGTCTTTGCCATCTGTGCTGGGATGGTTAGTTGTATATATAACAAACAAAATAACACATAAATGAAAAAAACGCCTTATGCCCAGAAAACGCGCCAACATTTAAACTGGCCAGTGGGACATTGCCACATCATTGTCTTCTTCCTCAGACTGTCGTTTTAGGTGACAAATTTTACCAACGGACAAAATGTTGTAGCTGTAACCCTGTAAATCTCAAAAACCTCAAACAAGCAAGATAAATAAATCCAAGCATACAGATCAACTAGGTTTGATCTCGTGAGTATGATGGTAACCATCTTTTTCCCTGATTTTACCTCTATCAAAAATCCCTAAAACGCAATCTTAAACCCTAACAATGGCAGTTGCCCATACATGCGTCAAAACTCATAATTAATCATACAAATACATTCTAAATGATGATACAAACATGAAGGTATGCTTAGAAATTATTAATCATGCGCGTATAGTCAGAATCAAATTCAAGAATAAGGGCAAACTGTGATGCTTGTGTAGGTTAATTCTGAGGACGTTGATGCGTGCAAACGATGCTGCTAGCTTCAGGAAGTTCCCAGGAATGGATTGCTGGTCTTGGAATTACTAGAAACGGCCTGTGGAATCAAAACCGACCTGCACTTTTTTTAACAAAAACTGAGTTTTGTTCTTGTAATTTTCACGACCCAATCCTTGTTCTTTTGCTTTGGATGTGTTGTTAACATATAAGGGACTGATTTAGGTCAACAAATTTGGACTAAATCTTGGATATTGATGAGAAAGAGATTTGATTTTCAACTTGATTCTTTTCTTTCTAAACTTGGCCAAAACATGCTATTTTCATTCCAATCGGCCCTTACACGACTTTTTTGATTTGCTAGCTGTTCATGGACTCATAATATGCTCACAAAATCAAATCTTTGATTTTATTTGATTATTCTACTATTTAACTTGATTTATTTTGATTTAAATGGATAAAAAATCAAAACAAATAATAAAAATAATAAAATAATAGGTGGATAAGCTCAGGGGTCATGGTCCATCTTAGGAACAAGTTTCAAACAAGAAAACATGGGCCCATTTGGAAAAAAAAGTCATTTTGATCAATGTTGACTTCATGCACATTTCCAAAAATTGGTCAACTTTGACAATACATATCTCCCCCTTAATTTTGACCCTAAGAGGGTGTTCTTGGACTTTTTAGAAAGCTTAGGATGTCCTATAAAAAACCCTTTTGGTTTCATCTCAATTGGATCTTTCATGTTCATGTAAGAAGCTTTGACCCAAAAGGTGTTTTTGTTGACTTTTTGAAATGACCTATAATGTCTGAATTTATATCTTTTTATGAGTGCATTTCTTGAACTTGAGGGATGAAGATGAATTGTAGGCAATTGAATCCTCTTCAAAATGAGCCTTGAATGGGAAATTTCTGATAAAGTATGAGAAAGTTATGCCTGGTCAAAGTTTGGTTGACTTTTCCTATAGAAACCCTAATTTAGCAACTTTTGAGTTTTGATGAATTTGGGGAATTCCTTGAGAAATCATGATAAACCCTTGATCAAATGATGGATTTTACTTCAAAATGTTGATTTTGACCCAAAAATCTTGAAGTTTGACTGCATGAGGGCCACAATTGACTTTTGACCTAGTATAGTTGATTTTTAGGCATTTGAGTAATTGACTGAGCAAACTTGTTGTGAAAGGCATGAAACTTGGCATGGATGATCTTGAGAACATATTAGGGCAATGGAAATCATTTGGAACCCTTGGAACTCAAACATATTGATGAGGAATGAAACCCTAATTTGAGGCTCATTGTCTTAGGAGGAGGATTTGTCTGGTCAATCCTTAGGCATCCTTGGGCAAGTTGAGGACCTCTAGAAGTATGTTTTGAGAAAAATGAGAGGGAAAATTTTGGGGTACAACAGTGTGTAACAATCTGCTTCCGCACTTTGATAAACTAATTCGGTACACCTTGTGTCAAGCAACAACCTGCTTTTGACATAAGGAATTACACTTTTAACACACCACCTAATTCATTGTGTCTAAGCTATATATATTCATCATTTCTCTTAGTCTTTTGAATACTTCAATATGCACTCCCTTCTTCATAATGTCTGCAATCTGATTCTCAGTTCTACAATGTTCCAAGTTCATCTTCCCATCTGCTACCTACTCTCGAAGATAGTGGAACCTCATTTCGATGTGCTTGCTTTGACCATGTGTTATCGGGTTCTTCGCCAGATTGATAGATGGCATGGTGTCGATCTTCATGGTAATTGCTCCATGATATTTCCCTGTGATTTCTTCGACCAAGTTCACCATCCATGGTGCTTGACATGCACAGAGAGAAGCAATTATGTACTTTGTTTCGCACGATGATAATGTCATTATTGGTTCTTTTCTCGAACTCCAAGCAATTGGTGCACCACCTAGAATAAACACATATCCTCCTGTGGATTTTCGATCTTCAACATCACTACACAAACTTGA